TGAGAGGACAAAACACATCGATGTGAAGTTTCATTTTATTCGAGATATCATTGTTGAGGGAAAAGTCCTTGTTTAGAAAATTCATACGAAGGACAATCCAGTTGATATGTTTACGAAGCCTCTTCCGGTTTACAAGTTCAAGCAGTGCTAGGACTTGGTTGGTGTTCATTGTTGGTGATTGTCCATTGGGGCTTTTATGAAGAAGGTGGAGCAAGTTTTGTTGGAACATGCCAAGGTGGAGATTTGTTAGTTTGGCAAGTCCCATAGTCCCACATCGGGAAAATCAGACTTGTTGTCTCGTCTTGGAACTATAAATAAGGGCCTGGGCTTTGAAGTCAGATGCACCACAAGAAAAACCTAAGTGTTTGCTTTGGTTTAAGTCCATACTAAGTTAAATAGTTTGGACTTATAGTTTGGTTTTTCTTGTTTAGTATTTTCGGGTGTTTTATGGCCTAGGAACATCTTCCTAAGGCATTTGTAATTGTCCCTCTTTTGCAGTAGTAATTTGCTCCTCTTTCGTCCGTGGATGTAGGTCAAAGTCAATTGACCGAACCACGTATATCTGGTGTTCTAGTGTTTTTGTCTCGCTTTTATTCTTTCCGTTTTATTGTCTTGTTGGGTTGCCAAAATTACCTTGTGGTAAATTTCCTGGGGCTAGCTCTAACAGCTTCTATGCTATGTTGTTGAAATTATATGGGCTATTTTAGTCACGAGTAAAACATAAGAGCTTAAAAAATCCATGACTAAAACAATAAGAACTAAAATAGACATTAACCCATTTATGTATATCATGACTTTATATTTCAAATTTGATAAGTATATAGTCCCTGTCACGCATAATCATTGAGGGCCATAGTCATTCGCTAGCACCTTTATTTTGATATGTAAGGATAAGCTTTAAGTTATTATAAAATAGCGATAATATAAATTATTATATTCATAATGTAATTTGAAAAATATGTTTTGAATGATATGGTTGTGATGACATAGGTATAAGCTCAATTTTAATATATACATTATATAAGCATAAAAATATTGAATTATAATGAAAATATATTACATATATATATATATATATATATATATATATATGATTGCATGTAATATAAGAGTATACGTATTTTCTTTGACATACAAAATAAGAGTGAATGAATATATTACATT